CAGTGTTGGGCTAGTTACTCAAAGAATGTAATATATTACTCATTACTAGTTACTCATTTCAAAAGTAATATTGTTACTTATTGCTTTCTGGCAACAGTAATCAGTTACACTACTAGTTACATTACTTTTTTCTTCATGCCCCACAGAAGTTGTAACTGTGTATCTTCCACATAAAATTCTAGTGATTGATAGTGACATTCAAGTAGAAGTGTTGTATTAATCTCATTAATTGTCATGTGTAGCTTGAGGCTAATTGTAATTTCTCCGTTACGCATATGCGATTATATTTTATTATGTATTTTATCAAATCACATAAGTTTGTAGGAAACTTTAATAAAAAAAAAAAATAAAATAATAATAATAATTAAGCTTTTCCATATTCCAAGCTTGCCTGCTGCACTGGGGACACCATGTGCATGTGTGAGTCGTGAAAATTATGAAAATAAGTCTAGGAATTATTTGATTGTTGGATTTTAAATCAGCGGGGTTGAGGCGTCTTAAGTAACTAAGTAACTAAGCTGTTTTATGGATGGTAACTGTAATATTATTACTGAAATCTTATTAGTAATTAGTTACACTACTAGTTACTGCAAAAAGTAATATTATTACAGTAACTAAGTTACTAGTAACTAGTTACTGCCCAACACTGATCCTGACATAGCTTCCCTGTTTTTTCCAGATGACTCAGAACAGTGTGTAGAGCTAGAGCTATAGCCTCTCGAAGCATTTCATGATTACCAGTGCCACAGCTGGGTGGTAGTCATTACGACTGCTCGACAAGGTTGTTTTGGGGATTGGTATGATGGTAGCTGACTTCAGGAAGCATGGTATGATGGCTTGTTTCAGGGACTGATTGAAGATATTGGAGCAAACCTTCTATATATATATAACCTGAGTACCTTCCCAGGTACCCCGTCAGGGCCGGTTGCTTTTCTCAAGTTCACTGACCTGAGCACCCTTCTCATCTCATGCTCCTGTAAAGTGAGTGCGTGGGTGTTACCTGCTGGTATAGGCCGAAATGACGAGACTGTATTTTGCTAGGTTGCCTCGAAACATGCAAAGAAGCAGTTCAGCTCCTCTGCCAGTTGGGCAGAGTGATTAGTCCCTGCAGTAGTAGCACAGCCCCTGAAATTGGTGACGGTCTATATGCCCTGACACATCCACCTTGAGTCTTTTCCGGAGAGATGATCTTCTGTCTTCTTCTTGTAGACCTCCTTAGCCTCTTTGATCCTTCTCCACAGCTTTGCTCTCGCAGCACTGTATAGAGTATTGTTACCTGTCCTGAAGGCAGCATCTCGGTCTCTGAGAAGTGTGCGGACCTGACTGTTCATCCAGGGCTTCTGGTTGGGAAAAATCTATATGCATTTATCCACAGTGGCATTATCAATACAGAATTGAATGTAAAATAGAACTCCCTTTGTATGTTTTAGGGCTGGCAAATTTTTTTTGAAACAATTAATCATATTCTCTGCATTAACATGAATTATCGTCAACCTGCTGAAATGTTCCTATAAATATATTTCCCTTCCAAATGTGCATTCTGAATAATAAATAAATATATTTCCCCACTAACCTGCCGCAGTACAGCTCTTGTCTTCTCATTAACAGTATTTTTCTCTTACTGATCATATCTCATACCTGTTGAATTTACAGTTGTAAATGAAGTTGACAGATAAACACCCTTATGAAAATTAACCATGGTTTTACTATGATAAAAGTGTAGTAGCCATGTTTTTTTTGTGTGGATTACCATTTGTATAACCACAATTTTACTACAAATGCCATGGTTAAGCTATGATTAGTATAGCAAAACCCAGGTTAATGTGTGGTTACTATGATTTAACTACAACTGCAATTTTTAACTGGTTAATTTTCGTAAGAGCAGTATTCCAGTGTTTAAAATGGCTGAATGAATGTGCCGTAACTGCCTTAAAGAAATGTAATGATGTTAAACATTTAATTAATTTTAAAAGTAACGCATTGAGTAGTAGTGCGACTACTTCTCTATCTATCTAGACACACAGGCACATAAGTGTGAAAATGGTAATAATAATACATACGAAGGCTATAAAAAAGATTCGAAATACAGTATATGTTTGTAAGATCACTGATCACTACATTCACTTCTTTCACTAATTCTGTCATCAACCAGTTTGTGAATGCAAAGATATTCAAACAACTCTTGCATGCAGCAAATCTAATGGCACGACAAGGCTCAAGAAAACCAAACTGATGCATATAAGCATGAAAACATAACCTCAGAACATAAGAAGATCATTTATAGCCAATTTAACAAAAGTCAGCGGTGTGCAGTATAGAAGAAGCACTTTTAAGACAAAATAAACAACAAACAAGCCAAAAAGTAGATGACACACAATAAGAAGTAATGTGTGATAGAGTCCTTCTGGATAAAGTTCACTACTATATGCATTTCAACACTGTCAACCTAAATGAAGTCTGACTGATGAATTAGTCTATTCAGCCACCAAATAATAATCATCATCGGAAGCATATTTGGTTTGAATTCTGTTTTAAATCTCCTCCCTTTTTGCTTCCTTTCTTCACCATCCTCTAGAACTCATACACACCCATTTATTCTATTCCTGAACTCAGTTTCATCTGGTCTCCAAGGAAATACAACATCAACCTCAAATCTCACTGACCTCGCGTTCCTGTAGGTAAGGTGATCTGGAAGCAGATTTAATCAGGGAGAGAAAGAGATAAAGATGAAGATCCAGATATCTGTGAAACCTTTGGCGGTTTTGAGCCAAGGCAATTCGATATAATCTAATGACCAAGAGTTAACAGATATGACAGTTAGTCTATGTTCATTTCAATGATTCAATGGTGCATTGTCAGTTACTCCTTATATAATTATACACAATGTTACATTAAAATTGAAAATGCATTCAGCACTTGTGGCTGAGAGCTCCATTTTCTGTCTTTGTTTGCTTATTGTTTGTGTGAATGACAAAAGAGTCATGCTACTGAAGACTAATGAAAGTTGATCCATGACCTGCATGAGAATCAAAGTCTGTAAGGCAACACTGTTCTTGAATTGGTAATCCATAAAAAACATACAAGTAATTTTGTAGCTTTCCTGTCTGCCACTAAATGGAAATCAGTTATTGCACTGACTTTTTTTCATGAAGTAGTTTACTGTAGTCACTAGTTTACAACACAAAAATATCTGGTGTAAGTCTCATTTCTTTTCTAGGCTTATTAGTCTATAACATTGCCCTGCATCATATTTGCTGAATAAAATCCAATACTTGTTTCTTACTAATTTTGGGGTGCTGATTTCAGAAATCCCTCTAGGGCATCACACTTTTTCCACAAAATATGATGCATTTCATAGCATTTGTAAGTATATTATCGATTAATCACCAGAAAAACTGCCACAAACAAAGTCGGGTTACAACTATTTGTTCAATTCTCAGCAGCTTCTCACATGTATGAATAATTATACATATAAAAGTTTTGTTATTAGGGACTCAACAACATTTCATAATTGTAAATGTAAACAAGGTGAAAATTCTGCGTTCAGAAATAAGTCCATTTGATTTTCAAACGGAAGAGAGAAGCTCTACAGCTTGGTTTTTACAAGCTACATCATATGTCTTCAGTTTCTGGTCTTGATGATGCGGTGGAAAATCAAGGTCTGTTTCCATGACCAAAAGGAAAATCAGTGCAAAATGCTTCACAAACAGAGCATTTCCATGTCGGAACGAAATTTGGATGGACTGTAGAGATTTGAATAAGTCTTGTCAACATTTGTTTTGCTGACATTTGCATTGGGACTCAAGTAGTCCACACGCCTAAAGCGCCAGTGAGCCTCATTTTCTGTGTTCTTCTGTTAAGAACTAACTGAACTAAGAATATGGATAAGGCCGGAGAAGCTGATTTGGATGAGTTGGAAACGGTGGAATATCTGGAGGATATGGAGGATATAGAGGCTTTGAAAACCATTGAAGCTCTTGAATCTGCTCCACCGTACCCAGGCCATCCAGCAGATTACGTAGGAAAAGAAATGACCCACAACCCAGGATACAATTCATCTCCATATCCCAATATTTATATGGGATACACCTCGTACCCAGAGCTGGGAGTTAATCCAAACTTTCAGGGAGGTATGTTTCTTTGGATAAACTTGGTACATTTCTTAACCCCTCATGTTGTACTGCAGTCACTCTGACCCAGAGACGATTTTAATAAGAGGATGCAGTGATGGACGAAGTACACAAATCAAGTACTTGAGTAAAAGTACAACAGCGGGGAATATGAACGTGCATTAGCTATTTTACTTAGCGATATTTTAATGTTTCGTTTTTTTTTTTACCTAAAACATAGAGCCACTGATGTTTATGTGTCTGCATTCAAGCATTTCAGTGGGCTTAAATAGATCACCCTTTACAGCAGATTTAGATCACAAACAACTGACAGTTTTGACCTAAATATGATTTTCAGTTACAATAATTAATCCTAAAACTCGACATTAGTAACTTACTTTTAACAGCATCAGACGCGCGCACGCTCACAAGATCTCCCGGTTCTTACTTGTGAATTCAGTTCACTGGAGACTCGCACTAAACGGTTCATTTGAATCAGTGAGTTGTAGACTCGAGAACAGCTGCAATCGGTTCATTCTACTTCGTGAATGAATCGTTTGGTGCGATTTGCGAACCGATTTAAAAGGTTAATTGAAAAGAATCAGTTCGTTCTTGAATCAGACACCGCTTCTGCGTCTCGGAGCACATGGTTTATTATAAAGAGTAACGATATGTTTTATGAAATGTAGTGAAGTAAAAAGTACGATCTTATGCTTTGGAATGTAGTGAAGTAAAAGTAAACGTTACTCAAAATAAAACTACTCCAGTAAAGTACAGATACTTGAAAAATGTACTTAAGTACAGTAACGAAGTAAAACTACTCCGTTACTGTCCACCACTGAGAGGATGTAACAACTTCTCCCCAAAAACTATAATTTGTGTACCTTTTTGAGATTTTTCACCCCCACCTTGATACACTTGTGGTGTTCCTGGTCAAAAAATTACCAGTTTACAAGAAATTGCTTATAAATGTCTCGGCATGCTATGTTTTTAACAAATATTGAATTATTGAAAACCATGTCCCCTTATTGAGAAGAAAATAATCTGTAGTGTCTGTGAATAAAAGCCAATTGAATACATAATAGATCTGAACTGGATTTAAACACACATACTGTGGTAACTCATTATTATTCATGAGAAGGCGTGGCCATTACATTCTAAAAAGCAAGCACTTGAGCCATCGCTTGATCATATCAGACACACACAAATGTGAACCTTCATGCTCTACTGGTGTTAAAGACTAGTTCACGCTAAGTCTAAAAACAACTTTGTAACATTTGAAATGTTGGCACTTGTTGAGGAAATAGCTTTTAGGATCTGAATATGCAAGGCATCTTTTTCTTGTTTCTACTCCCACCCTTGTTGATGGGTAATATATGTCTAGTGAGAACAATATATATGGCTTCATTGTTTTCTATGATTATTATAATCATGTCTTTTCACAAATTACCCTGTAATTTAAAATAACATTTTGACCAGATGATATATAAGTGCATGTTGACAAATGAGGTTTATTGTTGTAATCATGTTTATGATAAAATGAAGGAAAACAAACTTTATGTACTGTCATTGACAGCTTTTACTGTTTCAAAATCTTTTTCTAAAGCTCCAAATCAAGGGATATATCCTCAGGTTAACAGTAAGTTGCCGTTTCAAACAGTAGAAAAGCTCCTAATGAATACTTACTACTTTATTTATAGTCAATCACTGGTATCAGTGCAATGACAATCTTTTACAATGTTTTTCTAAAGGTCCACACCCTGGGATGTATCCTCAAGCTAACAGTAAGTTACAGTTTATAACTATCAATCTCAAACAGTTATTTCAGTAGATAATACCCCAAATTACTATCTATTGTCAGTAACTGATATCAGTGCAGTAACATCCTTTTGAAATCTTTCTCTATAGCTCCAAACCCTGGGATGTATCATAAAACTACCAGTAAGTTACAGTTTTCAACTATTGAGCTCAGACACTCAGTATAGGCAAGCTTCAAAAACAACTAAAAATGAAATGTCTGGTATAATTTGCTCACTCTTGTGTTGTTCTTAACCCATATAACATTGGTTAATCTTTCTATATATATAGAACAACAAGTAAATGATGCCAGAATGTTCATTTTGGGGTGAACTAACCCTTTAATACTAATACTACACTCAATTCGTTGTATGAGGTATTCAATATCTTAAACTTCCAAAAGCCATTCCTCTGCCTGATGTTCAAATAATGACATATAAAGAAAGAAAAACTGACAAAGCTATTTGCTCAATTGTCAGTACAATTTCTACTAGCAGCCAAAATGAGAAGGATAAATCATGCTACACAATGGTAGAACTAGTTCAGCAGCTTTTCTTTTTATCTGGATCATGTATTGTGTTTATGTGCATTACAGCCGTAACAACCACAGTGATGCTTCCCAGCCTGCGTGATTTACCCGCTCAAACCATGTGCCCTCACTGTAAGCACCAGGTGATCACTATAACAGACCACTACTCTGGACTCATGGCCTGGCTGGCCTGTGGCTGCCTTGCCCTCATCGGGTAAAATTCCTCTTTACACCTTGATAATTTAATAGAACTTACTACACACTCTTAAAAATAGAAGTTCTTTATTGGCATCAATTGCACCATGAAGAACCTTTAACATCCATGGAATCATTTCATTGCACAAAAAGTTCTTTATAGTGGAAAAAAAAAAGTTCTTTACATTTTTCTTCGTAAGAAAAAAAAGAGGGTTCTTTTAAGAGCTGTTCACTGAAAGGTTCTTTCGGGAACCAAAAATGGTTCTTTATATGGCATCACTGCGAAAACACCTTTTTGGAAGTTGGAACCTTTGTTTTTAAGAGTCTTAGGTGTCTTTACACATAGCCAAGTTCAAATCTAGTGTAAAGATTCAATGTTGTATAAAAGCTAGACTAAATTATGCCAGCTCTGACTTGCCTTAACCCTTAGTATCAAAGTATAAAGTTGTGACTGCTGTGTAAATGCATTTATGCCACTTCTAAGAAGCATTAAACAGTCTGTGTTGTCACGAATCAGGCCTCTGTGGCTCTCTCCGACGACCTCCGGAGGGCACCCTCTCCCGAGTACTAACGTCCATGGACTACATTTCCCATACACCCTGTACCTGGGACTGATTACTGGCACAGGTGTTTCCCCTTAGCTTCCCTATTTAAGCAGCTCCCAGACTCTCAGTGTCTGCGAAGTCTTGTATTGCCCCGGCTACATTTCTGAGCGTTTATCCCCTGTCTTGTTATCTCTTGTGTATTACCTCGGACTGTTCTTACTAGTGTGATTCTCTGCTGCCTGCCCCGACCCTCGCTCTGCAACTGTTTATTCTCCTGGATTATCCCTGCTGTTCGTGACGCTGTTGTCTGATTACTGCCTGTTTACTCTGCCTTTGATTCTCAATAAAGCTGCAAATGGATCCGCACGCCTCTGACTCTTCGTTACAGAAGACTTCGCCACACACGGAACCAGCAGCGATCTATCAGCTCACCACCGAGGTTTCTGCCCAGGCCTCCATGTTAGCGTCTCATCAACAGCAGCTGCAACGACTCACCTCGCTCACGGAGGAGATGGTGAGGACGCTACAAGTAATGCTAAAAACATACTCAAAAAATAATTTTAAAAGATCACAAAGACACAACAAAATTACTAAAACTTTAAAATTTAAATTAAAACTGGAATTATAATAAAATAAACGGTCATTCAAATTATTATATGAATAATAGTAAAATAACACCGATTACTTGATTGCAGTGCGTCATTGGCATGATTTGTTTGCTTCTGTCTTCTAATCAGTGCATTTCTCTTCAGGATCATAGGTAGTGCAGTTTGATATAAAATTGCACAGCTAAATACAATTTTTAGGAAATAAAGTAAAAAAAACCTGAAGCATATACCATCTGTCACGAATCAGGCCTCTGTGGCTCTCTCCGACGGCCTCCGGAGGGCACCCTCTCCCGAGTACTAACGTCCGTGGACTACATTTCCCATACACCCCGTACCTGGGACTGATTACTGGCACAGGTGTTTCCCCTTAGTTTCCCTATTTAAGCAGCTCCCAGACTCTCAGTGTCTGCGAAGTCTTGTATTGCCCCGGCTACATTTCTGAGCGTTTATCCCCTGTCTTGTCATCTCTTGTGTATTACCTCGGACTGTTCTTACTAGTGTGATTCTCTGCCACCTGCCCCGACCCTCGCTCTGCTACTGATTATTCTCCTGGATTATCCCTGCTGTTCGTGACGCTGTTGTCTGATTACTGCCTGTTTACTCTGCCTTTGATTCTCAATAAAGCTGCAAATGGATCCGCACTCCTCTGACTCTTCGTTACATGTGTAAAGACACCTAAATGCCACTTCAGAAGCGCTTCTGTGCCACCTTTGCAGTGTAAATTTACCATTTGTCTGATTGTCTGAAAACTGATTTTTTTAAGGTTAAATAAAACAAAGATTATTGAAGTACCTTTACACAATAAAATGTTAAGTATTTCCACTTCAGAATTTCACGTTTATTTCAATTTGTTACTTGCCGCTTCTTTGTTAATTTATTGTAAATTTTACTAGTAATTTTTGTTAAAATTGCTTCTACGCCATTTTTTGTTTTGTTTTTTTGTTTTGCAGTGTAGGCTTGTTGAGAGTTTCAATGGGACATGTAAATGTACATAAAAAGTTATGTAAATCATATCCTTTTGTCTTGCAATACTGCAAGCAGACACTAAGAACACAGAGTTATAGAGGAATGGAAGCAGTTAGTGAAAGTCAACAGGACAGACAGTGATCGACTGATTCTCATGTCTGTTTTGCAGGTGCTGGCCCTGTTGTCTAGCGCCTTTCTGGATGGATTCATGTAAAGATGTTGAGCATCGCTGCCCAAACTGCAACAACGTCTTGTCTTTCTACAGGCGCCTGTGATCTGGATTCAAACATGTCCCCCTTGGTCTTTGATTTTAATGGGATCTAATGGGTATAAGACAAAGGAATGTGTCTGAATATCATTTCACACTATACTATTTCACAAATTTACGACATTAAATTCCAACACAGGTTTCTATTACAACACATGTAGTAAGACTATATGGTAAGTGTTTACATTTTATGAAATATTTATGAATACAAATATTGTATGAAATAGAATATTTAATAACTGTTTTAAAGCTTTACATTCAACTTCTGTCAGAACTCATGCCTGTAAATGTAGATCGCAGTTATGTCAGAGATATTGTCTTGAGTCTTAACATTTTAATGTATCTTAAATATGAGCTTTTGAAGCAAATACGTAAACTAACATAGTTTTGATGTCAGTCTGATGTTAAGGTCAATAAATGTTAATAAATGTTACATTTTTTAACATTTACAAGCACTAATGTAACATTATATTGCTATGGTAACTAATTCTACTGTAATCACCTCTTAGCCTCAACATTTGATAATTAGCCTCACTTAAATGAAGGGTTTCAGGGTTAACAACTGTTATTATCATTAAATGAAGCTTGCTAGATGGTTTGAAGAAATCAAACTAAATATAGTGATGTAAGTTGTTCCTAGAACCATTTCAGTGAGGATTCATATGCAAACTTTAATCTAATGTGTACATCATTTGCGCCTGTAATCCTATGACCAGTGAGAATAATTTGTCAGCAATGTAGTATCTAAAATAATGTTTTTTACATTCTATATTAAAATATATATATATATATTCTACAGCTGTGTGCCTGCAATCTGTACAAGAACCAATAGAGGGTGTAGTAAGCTACTTTAAAAAGCAAGTCCGTCTGTTGCACACAGAATGGAAACAGATGGTTACCATACTAATAACCCACTAATGTATATATATATATATATATATATATAGAGGACAAATTTGATTTAAATTGCACTGCTAAAAATGTTATGTCTCATCTTGCTGTTGCTACAGTGTTATTATTGGTAACTTAAATTATGATAGAGAATACATTATTTAAAATATTTTTTGGTAATTGAAATGAAGCTGAAATAAAATTAAGTAAATTTTTTTCAATAAAAATTAGATGAAAAACTAAAACAAACAAAATTAGAAATGTTGCCATGACAGCTAATAAAATAAATTGTGTTTTAATGTTTTAATTTGAATGAAATCACTCATTCAATAAGTTAAAGTAATAAAATCACTAAAACTGAAATAATTATTAATTACTGAAATATTGAACTAATAATCTAAATGAAATGACAAAAGCACATAACAAAATTACTAAAACTCAAATTAAAACTGAAAAAAGAGCTGATTCTAAATTAATAAATACTGTAATAGTAAATAACAAAAACAAAGAAACACTCTTATATTAAACAGGGTTTGTGCAAATTACACATTTGCAAAGCACTGCCTTTTCGTTTAGCAATGCCAAATTAAACCAGGTTTTGCTCAAATTCATCTGCCAATAGTTACTCTGAAGAGTGTCAAGACTTGATCTCTTTAAAGGGGTCATATGATGCTATTTTAAAGAGCATTATTTTGTGTATTTGGTGTAACAGAATATGTTGACATGCTTTAATGTTCAAAAAACACATTATTTTTCAAATACTGTACATTATTGTAGGTCCTCTATGCCCCGCCTCTCTCAAACACATCGTTTTCAACAAAGCCCCCTCCTTTGACAAGCGCAGTCTGCTCTGATTGGCCAGCTGACCCAGTGCATTGTGATTGGCCGAACACCACAAGCACGCGTCGGAAATGTAACGCCCATTACCATAATCGCGAGCTTCAAGCTTTCAAAGTAAATATCAAGACAGTTAATAATGTCGTTAGTTTTACCATCAGTTCAAGCCCGAAAGGGCAACAGAGTCGCGTGACAGACACAGTGATGATGCAGTACACAAGCCGCGGTTAAGACAGCTGATGTGCTATGATTTCTGACAGGCAGTTCACTCTCCTGTGATGTGACCCTGTTCCCCTCACACACACACACACACGACGC